GGGGGGGGGACCTCAAGGGAAGTTTGGGTAGGGATGTGCCGCCGAGGTCATCAACCCTGACTCTGTTTTCCGCTACCCCTCTTTAAGACAGGAAACCTTATTTTATGAAACTTTTTATTTAAAATGACAACCCTGATTCGTTTTTTTTCTTCCAGAATTAAGTAATTTAGCTCGCGAGCAGAGGTTTCTTTTTCGCGTTGCTTTTAGCATTAACAAACTCGTTCGCGTCGCTTGTTTGTCGCGTAGTTCGTTTTATACGCCCCCGATGTGTAGGAATGCACCACGTTTTTTCGGCGCAGAATAGGAAAGAAAGAATTTACGGTCGAGTAAAACTACACCGTAATGATTCAATTTACCACTTCACTTGCACACACTTAGTACCCGCGCCTCAGGATTCGAAGAGAACGCTCGGTTACTAAGACAAGAACAAATGCCGATCGACTTTTGAATAAAAACAGCGTGTTTTCAGGCTTTTCAACGAGAAATATACGGGCAGAATTGCCCAGAAACGACCAAATGACTACTTTATTGTGAGTTTCCCAGCCCATAGGGAGGAAAAGGGCGCTTATTTTTTTTTTTAGAAACAGCCGATGCGAAACAACTCTTTGATATTTATTTAAATCACTGAAAAAGAAAGGCTCTTATTGCTATAGGAGGGTTTATTTGAATGTGAGGATGCTTACGCAATAGGGACGCTCGGCTTATCAGGACAAAAACACATTCGAAGTTGGCGCTTATCAGAGAGGGATGCTCATTACAACGAGGGCGCTTAATCGAATCATATGCGGCAAGTGAAGTTCTGGTTACAAAACCCTAGCCAATGACGAAATAATAAATGCGTTGGCTCCTAGTCCACTTCTGTGCGGCTTTTTTATGCCCTGTTAAGAGGCCCTAAAGAAGGCGAAACGGTGATATGGCTATCATGCATTGTGTGAACACCCATCCGATATGTGACTCTCCACTTAACCCTTTGAGCCCCAATATCCCCAAACAAATTCTCCAAACTGATCTCTATACATTTCCTTACAGAATTAGTTGGGAGAAATTGATAAAAGATCAAAGATTCTTCTCTTTGTGATCATTTGATTAATTCTCATAGATGTTGCACTTGACAATCTATGGATATTGTTAGGAGAAAATTGATGTTGGTCACTAGAGATCGGTGCGGCTCAGCCTCGCTCCGTTACAGAAATAGCACAGAAATCACCGTTCTTGCGTGTGATCAGAACCCCTATCCGGTCTGGTTTTCGTGCCGACTCAAAAGCTTTCTGGTATAGTTTTAACATAACCTATTAAAGGATAAGCTTCTTCGATCTGCATAATTCTTCATATCATACTCAGTCTCGATTGCCAATATACTGGGTTATGGCTCTTGACTGGGTAAAGGGACCATTGCTTATTACGTATCGGCATTAATTAACAATTATTGCATAAGACTGAGTATCCGATATCTGGAAAATTCTTTACATCATAGGAAATACGAATTCAGTAATAGCTTTACTATTCATTCAAAATATTTCTGGGCATGGCCGGTTTTAGAAGTTGTTTATTTTTTCTTGCGGATACTCCTCACAAAGTAGATAACATCCACCAGTTTTAGTCGACAGAAATTCGACTGTTTTGTGTTCAAATAGACGTTAACACTTTTCGACATTTTCGTATAACCCAGTTCTTTATTTGAAATCATGCTCGGTATGTTACCGATTATGCGTTCCTTTCCAAACCACTCAGGCTGTCAAAGTGATCGGCACTGCGCGCGCTGCTGTCATATTTAGCTCTGTACAAAAACATCAGGGAATTAAAGACAACCAGTCACAGAATGCTAGTGATCTTGACATTGATACTAACATTTATTTTTTTTAGCCAAGAAGTTTTAATACTGATACTGGCTATAAGCCGTTACTTATGGCAGAAAGAGAGGACGTAGATTCTCTTGGCAATAAATAAATAAAATGTATTTTTTCTCAAACGCCTAGCACCACTTAGTGATGAGTTACTGTACATAACGCTTTCATATTATTTTGAGTTAGGTAGCTAACTTTCTTACTCGGCTTTTCCGTACCAAAGAAATACGAATCTGATTCTCAAATTTAAACTTTCTGGGTGGAAATGTAAACTCATTTCTAATAAATTACTAATTACAAAAATAATATTTTTGAACAAACGTTCCTTAGATTTTTAACATTTTATGAGTCCTTTATCTGTTAATCTGTCTACAATAAATAATTGTATCAATGGTGTGTACAATGGAACCTCGATCTATACGAAACTCTAATAACGAAGTCCTCGGTATAACTAACTTTTTTTTACCCCAGTAATAAAATATACATGGAAAAGAACCTCGATATAACGACACGTCGTTATAGAAAACATATTTTGCCGCGCCTGTCCCTTAGCCCTTCGATATATCGAGGTTCCACTGTAGTTCCTTTTCCAGGCTACAAACAAAAAGGAGGTTTTCAATTTCCAATCTAAAACATCTTTTTCTTTTGTTTTGCGAACTATTTATTGTCACCCTCAACTCTGCTTTTTCCTAATTCATTGAACTAAATCTTGAAGAGTCAG